GCTGAGTGAGAGGGAGCGATGCTGGGATGGGCGGGTCAGAGACTGGGCACGATGGATGCACGCGTAGGTAGCCGGACTGGGACAGAGGGGCAACCGACGTCACTGGAGCGGGTTTTTTTTCGGGGACTGTAGGTAAGTAAACTGTATAGGGGGATGTGGACGAAGAGGCGCCAGGCCGGAGGGCATCCGCTGTCTCCAGGCACTGGCGGGCGCACTGGTACTCTTTGTGCAGCGCGCGGTGGAGAGGCCGCCAGCACCAGCCACACACACGCCCAAATGCATACGCCCAAGCCACACCGATCGGCTCTCAGCCACATCTGCCACGTTCTGCCCCGGCATCCCAACCGGCAGCCCGACAGGCCGACAGATGGGGCAGACACTACATCGACACTAGGCCACTAGACACCCTTCTTTTCTCCGCCCAACGCGACGTCACCCCGAGCAGCTCATAGCCTGGCCAGCGACACTGCTTCCTCGCCATGCGCCGGCCTACGCTTGCTGTGCTGAGCCTGCTGTGCCTCTCGCCTTCTTTTACCCTCGCCGCCCCGCACGATACGACATCGCCGCTCCAGTACGATAACCAAGGCACCTACGCCTCGGCCCACAACGCGTCACCACGACCATGGCGCCGCCTGTCCGACGCCATCATCCGTAGGATATGGGCCCTGCCTGCCGACCAGAAGCGCCTACATGGCGACAACCAAACTCCTGCCGTGGCCAATCCATTGGGCTCTGGCCTGGCCGCCCAGTATGGCGACGACATTGTGTTGAGATTCAAGATCCGCACCGCCGACGAGGCTACTGCATTGGCAAAGGCTGCTGACATTCTTTTCCTCGACGTTTGGGAATTTAATCAGGACTGGGCCGATGTGCGCATTGCAAAGGATGTCCTGCCTTCCCTTCTGGACCTGCTCCCGCCATCGCTCCACCATGCCCACGAGCCACTGCTACAGGACCTGGGGCTCGCACAGGCAATCTTCAATTCATACCCATCCCCCGCCTCTGTCCCATCTCACCATGACGATCGCTTTTCCCCAAATCTCCGCCCATCGCCGCGGGCCGGCAAAGGCCATGTCTTCTTCCAGGACTACCAGCCCCTGTCCGTTATCAATCCGTGGATGAGCCTCATGGCCTCCATGTTTACTACCCATGTCCGCCGCATCAATGTTGGCGTCAGCTACCAAGGTCGCGAAATGCCCGCCCTGCGTGTCGGTGTGCACCCCACCAACGACGATGAGCCGTCCCAGCCCAGAAAGACCATCCTCGTCACAGGCGGTATACATGCCCGTGAGTGGATATCGACTAGCACAGTCAACTACCTGGCCTGGAGCTTCATCAATGCCTACGGAAAGGACCGCGAGATGACGCGACTGTTGGAAGAATTCGACTTTGTATTCGTCCCAACCCTGAACCCAGACGGCTACGTCTTCACGTGGGAGACAGACCGTCTCTGGCGCAAGAATCGCCAACCCACCAGACTGCGTTTCTGCAACGGCGTAGACCTCGATCGCAGCTATCCGTACATGTGGGACGGTGAATCGGCACAGTCAAGCCCCTGCAGTGAATCTTTCCCTGGTGATGCACCATTCGAAGGCGTGGAATCCGCACGCTTCGCTGCATGGGCGAAAAACGAGACTGAAAACAACAATGTCGAGTTTGTGGGCTTCTTGGATCTGCACTCATACTCACAACAGATTCTGTATCCGTATAGCTACTCGTGCCATGAAGAGCCACCTGCCATTGAGGACCTTGAAGAGCTCGCCATGGGCCTGGCCAAGGCTATCCGCGTCTCCCGCAAAGGCCAGACATACAAGGTGACATCTGCATGTGAAGGCAACGTGGCGTTCTTCAACGAAAAGAAGAAAATCTTTCCGCGTATCGAGTCGGCTGGCGGTAGCGCACTCGATTTCTTCTACCATGAGATGAAAGTAAAGTATTCTTACCAGGTCAAGCTAAGAGACACAGGCAGTTATGGGTTCCTGCTACCAAAGGAGAACATTATCCCAACAGGAGAGGAGATGCTGGATGCGCTTTTGTATTTTGGGCGCTATGTCCTCGGTGAGGTTGGCATTGCTCAGCAGGGCAATGAGGCCAAGGTGGCCAAGTCCGAAGAAGACTGGGTTGTTGTATCAAAGGATGGTAATGTCAGTGGCCTTGAGACTGAGTCTGAGATCACGGAGTTGTAATTTACGTTCATGTATTGTACCCGAAGAAAATAGTTTTTTACGCATCGCACACACCTAGTCTTGTAATATGTGCGTGTGTTGCGCGAGCTCGATGCGGCTCTTTTCGCAAAGCAAAACATGGCAACAGCCTGTTGTGGTAAACTGCGGGCCATGTGCAATCATACTTGACCACTTCGAGCCGACGTGTGTCATTGCGCAATGCTCGTGCAGATCCGGGGATGTTGATGATGACAACCTGCCTGCTCTGGGTTCATGGCAGGCACAAGGAACATTGGACATAAGCAAGCCACAGAGCGTTCAAGATGGCGCCAGGGATCCTGTTGGTTTTTATCAACGGTGTTGCATGTAGCGGTCGTTCACTTGCACGTGGACCCCGTCCGTGCCGTTAGGCGAAAGCTAAGATCCTTACAACGTCATGGCTTCAAAGTCTCAGTGAAGCAACAGCTTCCGTGTCTGCCACCGTCATTTTGGCGCTGCCGACACCCGGAATCTGCCATTGCACTGTTGTCGTCTTCCGTCGCAATTACTCTTCCACTATTGACCATCAATCTGACGTGAAACACAAACACATAGCCCGTCATGGCATCACAAGCTACGGAAACGACTCCCTTGGTGTCGTCAATGTCGAGCTCTAGTCGAGCAACACCCCATAAACCTCAGCGCACCGTCACTTTCAACCCGACCGTCCTATCCACCAGCCCAAAACCCTCCTCGCCTCGCTCGTTATCCCACGGCGCGTCCTCTTCGGGTCATGCTGCTACGACCCAAGGCGGGCAGCCAATGCTGTCGACCTTGAACAGCAAGCTGCGGAGGAGAAACAGTTCAGGCGCTCCTGCTCGGATACCTCCCGCACCGGTACCCAAGATTGGTCCGCAAAGAACGACGAGGACTGCACAGAAACTGAAGCTCCTCCCCGATCCGGCTGCCGATGAAGCCGAAGACGAGGAGAGTGGACGCGACGTATATGTACAATACACGCGCATCAAAGACCCCACCGCAAGAAGAGATGCTGCCAGGCTTGGAAAAGCAGACAGAGAACGGTTGCCCAGAGTAACAGCATATTGCACGGCTGCTTCCTACAAACTTGACGAGATGATGCGATTTCTGAAGGGAAAGCAGAAGACAAGAGGCGCTTTGCCCAAGCGTTTTGATGAGTGCATATACTCGCCGTATAGCTATGGTTCAACGAAGGGTCCAGAGGAGATTAGTAGTACTGCCGTATTGGGTGACTATCCAGAGGAAAGACCGAGGAGATTCTCAGACAGCGCGATTGAAGTGGAACACGAGAATGAGCGGAGAAGACAGGACATTATCGATTTACACGATGGCGGTGATTCGCCCGATGTTACCAACGAGCAAGCTGTGAGCCAGAGACGCCCGTCCATCACCCATGCCGATTCCGACCCCCCAATGGACACACCTGACTTTGATACGCGCGTACATACACCAGAAGTCTTTCTTTTCGAATACGGAACTGTTGTCTTATGGGGTATGACGCTCCAAGAAGAGAAGAAATTCCTTAAGGAGATTGCAAAGTTCGAGGTGGACAAGCTCGGCAAGGATGAGATTGAGACGGAAGAATTCAATTTCTACTACACACGCGAATACCAGGCCCGGATATACAACGACTTCATCAGTCTGCGCGACAAGAAAAACTACATGATCAAACTCGCCATTAGTCACGGACTGTCTCAGAGTGTCAAAACGTCGCTATTCGAAGACTTGGTGGACAACACGATTGACGAAACCAAGGACATCCCAGCCGAGATTGCGAGCTCGGGAAAGATCAATCTCAACAAGAAACAGATCAACATGCAGATAGGAGAGCTGTTCATCCTCCGCATTAGTATACATTTGCAAGGATCTGTTCTCGATGCGCCGGAGCTCATGTGGGCAGAGCCACAACTGGACCCGGTCTACCAGGCGGTGAGAAGCTATTTGGAAATGGATCAGCGCGTCAGTCTCTTGACCGAAAGACTGAACGTCATTGGTGATCTGCTTGCTGTGCTGAAGGATCAGCTGACTGTAACTCATGTAAGTTAGGCTTTTTTTTCGCCCATGTCTTGAAGATCAGCTTGGCTAATGAACAACACAGGGTGAACTACTCGAGTGGATTGTAATTATTCTGATTTTTGCCGAAGTTCTGGTTGCCGCCATCAACATTTTTGTTGACCTGCACGCTGCGGACTAAGTTATTGGCATTACTTTTCTTTTTCCCACGGTGTACGATAGTCGGCTTGCGGCTCCGCATAACGGGCGTTCGGGGGTACAGTTGAACGGGTCTATGGCAAGGCGTTGCAAGTGGTAGGCGTCGAATATATGTTTTAGCTAGCTATTTAAACAGTCGCCAATAGGGTGGTTTGGAGGACTTTTTTTCTTCTTCCTTTCTTCCTCTTTTCTTTTACGATAGCAGCTGTTTGGGCCAATGGAATAATGTTTCGTCATGGTTTTAGTGGTGACTTGGCTGAGAGTGGGTGGTTTGACGAGGACGAGGTTAACGTCGTCGCTACTCGCTGTACGGAACACGTTTTCCAACGCGAGACGGGACTGGCGAGCACTCTCCTGTGGAAACGTGCTGTCATGGAAGAGAAACGTGGGTAGCATTAGCAAGTGGCACAGCAATGCATGCTTACTTTCCTAGGCGGCGCTGATATTGTTACAGTATGTTGATCTAATCGACTAGGGCGGCGGAGCAAGACGTCTCCGCCCGCTGAACCCTGTCCGGCGCCCCATCCTTCCACATGAGACCCTTTTGAGCATTTCACCGCATGCCGTCGCCCTCCACCCATACAGTGCCCCAATGAGCCGTCCCAGATGAGTTGGAATCTGCTAGAGCGCTTTATAGAATCTGAGCACTTCAACCAAGATCCGAGCCTCGCAGTAGCATACCTCGCGTGAGTGGCCACCTCTCCTCCGAGCGCAGCGGCCCTCTGCCGCCGATTGCCTCCCCTCTCACTTGCTGTTTACTGACGCATGCATGCGAATGCACACAGCCGGTATGCAGACCACGTCGGAATCCACTATGTGCTCTGTTCCAAGCTGCGCCAGTTCGCCTACGAGGAGCTCGAGTTCTTCCTGCCGCAGTACGTCGCCTGCGCCACACCACAACCCGCCGACGGCATGAACAGCTAGCTTACATACGCGGGGCACCACAGGCTATGTCACCTCCTCATCAGCATCGACAATGAGTCCATGGCCCTCGAGGAGTTCATAATTGACTTGTGTGAGGAGTCGGTCAACGGCGCGCTTCTGGTGGGGCTTCCGGATACCGTGTCTTGTTAGTCTGGTGCTTCTTGTGCTAATTCATGCCCTACAGACCTTTTGGCTCTTCCAGACATATCTGCACGACCTCGCAAGCGCTCCAAATTCGGTCGCTTTTAAAACCTGCAGGAGAATCTACAATCGCGTGCAGCGCATCGTCTTTGGATCCGCCGAGCCCTCGCGAAGAGAGAAGATCAAGGAGAATGTATTGCCCGTCAGCGTCCTATCGAGCCTGGTTCTTGCAAGCATAGCGGCGCCATTTCTACCAGCTCATGCCGGGCCACTGGCTATTGCGCAGGCGCGGAAGCCTAGACCCGTCGAGGACATCATCTCTGATAACGTGCAGACGGCCAAGGTGGGGAGGAGCAAGACGGTCACAGGAGGATCGCCGAGGGCCAAGCAAAAGAGGGTAACCCAACAACAGCAACTTTCAGATCCCGAGGACGGCCGGACAGGACGGTCACCGTCGCAGCGTCCCCGCGACCCCAAGGATTTGAGGAAACAGGCCATTCGAGCGCCCCCTGCCCAGCGCGCACCATCAGCCTCACAACGACCGTCGCTGTTGTCTGTAACCCCCGAAGCCCGCCTTAGCTCGTCCTCGCTACCAGAATTTCGAGATACAGGCTCCTCCTCCCCCCTCCCTACGCCCCCGGCAACCGCTGGCCTAGGGCCGAGTCCGCTCCATCTTGGTCCTCGCAAACATTCGGCACACCCACCAAGACCCCTCTCGCCCACATCATTAACCCGCGCACAGAAAGTTCGGCTACTACGATCCAATTATTTCCGGAACGAAACCCAATTCCTGAGCGCTCTTGAGGATATTTCGAATCGCTTAGTCGTTGTGCCGAAGCCTGCACGATTGAGTGCTCTCAGAGCAGAGTTGGCGTTGATAGCCCAAGACTTACCTGCTGAAGTTGATATACCGCTATTGTCACCCCCGACCCTGAAAGATGGAATTCCTTCGCAGAGCCAGCACCATCGAATAGTGCGAATAAACCCAGCCGAAGCTACCAGTCTCAACAGTGCGGAGCGAGTACCATATCTGCTCATGGTGGAGGTTCTGGAAGAAGACTTTGATTTTGATCCAGACACGGAACAAAACCAGAAACTCCTCGAGAAGCTTATGCTAGAAAAAGGCACTTCAAGACGGCGGCTCTTTGATATCACCAACGCTGACTATCTTGCATCATACGACCGCACCCCACCAAATGGATCAGACAGTGTATTCGAGCCTGTTACGGGTGACCTCGGTAGCACTTCACTGCTCAAGGATACGGATGAGACGGATATCGCCTCAGGACTAGCACGGGTGACCATGCCTGTTGCAGCGGCCAATAGCAAAGCGATAGCACCAAGGTCCTCAAGTGGAGCCAATACCCTATCATCCGTGGCCATGTCCACACCTCGGACGTCCGATTCGCAGATCAGTAGATCAGTCAGTCCTATCCCTAGCAGAAGAATGACAATCCCTGCAAACATGAACCGAGCAAGTCAGGCTGTCGATCAGCCCGACTTTTCTGCTCTTGCAACCCACATGCGCACTGCTGCTCAGATGCTAGCACAACTAGAAGCAAGCGGTGCGAAGAGGCCAAAGGGTGAAGTAGCAGCAATCAAAGCCAAGATTATTGCAAGCATGCAAAGCCTCGAAGAACAAAATTTCCTCAACGAAGACCAGAGTCCTACGTTTGATTCTATCATGGCAGAGACAGACCCAGTGGTAATCGCGGGAGAACCGGACGAAATTGATGAGGCCTTGGTGGTCACGCCCAACTCGGGAGCAGGCGCTGCTCGTATGGAAAACGATCTTAAGACTGGTGGTATGCGACGAAAAGGCGACAGAGACGATCCCAGCGCTGCAACTTTTGGAGAAGAATGGAGCGCAAAGCGAGAGCGTATACGGCGATCCTCACCATATGGTCATATGAAGAATTGGGATTTGATCAGCGTTATCGTCAAGACCGGCGCGGATCTACGGCAGGAGGCATTTGCTTGTCAACTCATTGAGGTTTGCGCCAAGATCTGGGAAGAAGCAGAGGTGCCGGTCTGGACAAAGCGTATGCGTATTCTCGTTACCGGCGAGTCCTGCGGTCTCATAGAAACGATTACGAACGGCGTCTCACTGCACTCCCTCAAGCGAAGTTTGACACTTGCTAGTATAGCAGCAGGCACCAATCCCCGAAAACGCATCGCAACTCTCAAGGACCATTGGCTCAAGACATTTGGGGAGCCCGACTCGGAAGCCTATATTGCAGGCGTAGCAGCCTTTGGTCGCTCCCTAGCGGCGTACAGCATCATATGTTACGTACTACAGCTTAAGGATCGTCATAACGGCAACCTACTCATCGACAACATGGGCCATATCATTCACATTGATTTTGGCTTCATGCTTTCCAACTCGCCTGGTTCCATGGGCTTCGAAGCTGCCCCTTTCAAATTGACACAAGACTATGTCGACGTCCTTGGTGGAATCGGGTCGCCTGCATTTGAAGAGTTCAAGACACTATGCAAGAAGGCGTTTCAAGCGCTTAGGAAAGATGCTGAAAGACTGATCATGCTGGTTGATCTGATGAGCAAGCAGAGCAGTATGCCATGTTTTGCTGCAGGCGCGGCCAGTGTAACAAACAGTCTACGGGCAAGGCTCATGCTCCATCTGAGTAGAGAAGAGGCAGAAAGCTTTGTTGAGGAGCTTGTTGCAAAGAGTGTGGGAAGTTACTACACCCGGCTGTAAGTTTACGACGCATACTGTTTTCTGCATAAGGAGCACTGCTAACATGAATCGCAGTTATGATACGTTTCAGTACCGCACGCAAGGCATATACTAAGTTATACTCCTGCGGCATTTACTTGAGCGAGCTTGTGTGCTATTTGAAGACATCTGCGAGGGCATTCGAGCACAAGCATTGCATTTTCTCGTTCTTCTTCCATCATCTCCTTAATCATGTCTAGAACTAGTTCGCACACCCTGTGGAGAGAGAGGCACGCTGAGCTTTCCCTCTTTTTGGATAGAAGAAGCAGAGACAGAGGCTTTATCATATGCCTAAGAATATATCTTTTTTCTCTCGGACGAACAATCGATGTGTATAATTGGTAGTCTTTCAATGAGATGACATTTAACATAACAACAACGACGCTAGTATCGAACCTACCACATAGCCGTGAAACCTAAAATGAAAAAAAACACATCGAAAAGACTAATTGGCTTCCATCACCTCCTCCCTTTCCTCTCCAAACCCTTCCTTCTCCCTCATCCCCCTCCCCATCCGCGCCACCTTGTGACTCCCCACCGCTCCTCCTACCTTCTCGACCACCTTTCCCAACATAGAATCCCGCTCCGGTCCCCCCATCTCTCCCGTCTTATTACCGTACCCTGCTCCACCCGTCGATCCGCTACCCAGCGGCGCGGGATTCGAGTATGGAGTAGGAGATAGGTTGGATCCGAAGTGCTTGTCTGAGGTGTCAGACGTGGAGGATGTAGAGGAGCGTTTGTTTCCTTTTTTTTGCGTCAGTAATAGCTCGTTGGGAAGGTAAAGGAGCTATGAAAGAAAGAGAGAGAGAGAGGGTATGTGGAAGGGGGTTGATGAAAGAAGGAGGATGTACCGAATCCCGCACCGCCAGTCGTACCTGACCCGTGTTTCTCGTGCGGATTGTGATAGGGAGTGTGTGAATCTATGAGGCCGAGGCGCGTGGAGTTGTGCTCTGGCTCGAGGTCTGAGGCGCTGTAGGAGGGCGCGGTGCGGTTGCCGTAGCCTGCCATTTGGGAGAGTATGAAAGGAGAATTAGGATTCAAGGGAGAAATTTGGGTCAATATGATTATGGGATATGAGTGGTAAGTTGGGTATTGTAATTATATTGTCAAGGAGCTGCTTAATAGGATATATACATATAGATGTTGGATAAGTCTTTCGTCCAGACATGTGCTGATCTGGTTACGCACATGGTCGAGAGATGTGTTCAAGCCTTATGAGGTCATTCTGCTGGGAGATGTGTAGATCAGAGGATGCAGAAGCATTGTAAGAGGTCGATAAGTGTGAGCTAAGCTGTGCTTAGTAGTCTTGTAGGACGCTAGTGTCTTGATTGTGTAGATCGGACGAAGGTGGCTGACAGAATGAATCGAATAACTCCCATCGGCTTCAGGGTATTTTTTGTGTTGAAGCAGTTATTTTCATTCGTTGATAATCCCATTCCCGAGAGAAATCCATCTCAATGCAGATGCCATTCTTGTAGCAGCATAGTCTGCTCTGAACAGCATGAAGAAAGTCTCTGGGACCAGATATACGCATGATTGAATCAATGCCCAGGAACGATGGGCAGAGGCGATAGATAAAGCCAACACCTGTGAATGGTAGCCGCAACTGCTGATCGAGATAACGATAAGGCCTCTGCAAGATTCCGTTCCATCACTGGCTCCCTAATTCCCGCCAAGATCTGGGGTATCCCACGCTCTTCACGCAGTCCGCCTGAATGATTCTAGACCCAGTACGCCAAGACCCATGAACGCCAGCAATGCACGCAAGCTACGAGCGAAAACAAACTCGAAAAGCGCAATGACCTCATCGCACGTATTTGGACTGCCGCATTCTGTCAGCAGTGTTGGGTATATCGTGAGTTACAGTTACTTACCATGAACTTTTTGTGAAAGTCGGACCGCAGCATATCGTTGATAAATTCCTTCTTCTTGTTCCTGTCCTCTGTGCCACGTGCTTGGTTCTTGAATACAACATCATCATCCCATCGACGCTTCATGGTAAAGTCTTTGGCGTTGAGCAGCGGGTTACCCCGAGCAACATCGATTTCACGTTGTTGTTCCTCTTCGGCAGCTCGTTCGGCCTCCTCCTTGGCTTTGGCTGCAGCACGCTCCTTTCTGATCTTCTCGAGCTCTCTCTGAAGGGCTCCTTCGCCGTCTTCGTCACTGTCAAGTGTTAGTTGAACACTTGGTACTTAGGTGCAATATGAACCTACTCATCATCGCTACTCTCCTCCTCACTACTGCTATCGTCCGCATCCACATCCCTGAACTTTTCAAGTAATTCTATTCGCCGCCGTTTCTGTGCTGCTTCATCTTCTTCGCCGTCTTCGTCAACTGACACATTGTCAATCTGGCGCTTAGGCGCACTTCCAGGCTCAGCCACGGCGTCCGGCTCTACGTATGTGCCGTTTTTCTTCGCCGCATAGCGCGCCTCTGCCTCCAAGAGTTCGGCGCGCAGGTCGCGCTTTTGCTTGTCGGCATCTCCGCCCTGACCTGGTTGTCTATGTTTGAGTGTCGTATGCGCAGGAAGGAGTCGCTGGTGATAGGCAGGTCCGCGCTGGGCCTCTTTGCCGCGTGCGGGATCGAACGTGGGTCTATGGGCGGTCGTCATTGTGGAATCGTGTGGTTTGGAAGCCTTTGTTTGATAGTGTGTAGGTTTCGGAAGTCTTGCGTATGGTGGGCGGTGATTGTAGTTGATGTGCAAAAGATGGCGCATACAGACTCGCGATGATCAAGTCGCGCTAAGCATCGGCGTTCACTTTTCCCCGCGCCGCATTTTCTATGGTTGTCCAACAACCACTTTAACTCCAACCAACGCCTTATACATTGAAGAGAGGCATTATGCCTCGAGAAGCTGAGATATCGCTCAATGAGCGTGAATTTATCAAACAAGCACTGCAAGAGCAGATTCGCATCGACAGGCGCGCTTTTGACGCTTTTCGCCCGCTTGAGCTCACTTTTGGCGATGAATATGGTGTCGCCGATGTGCAACTGGGCAAGACCAGGTACATGAATACAATCTAATTTTGCATGCGCAAGCTAACAAAGATCAGGGTCATTGCTCGCATATCAGTAGACGTAACAACACCACCCCCAGAGCGCAAGTTCGACGGCATCTTCCAAATAGTCACAGAGTTCTCTCCAATGGCGTCACCAGCATTCGAAGTTGGCCGGTATGTCTCATTTCACAACGGCCTCTTCTGCGATGATTCTGACCTTGTCCTAGACCCACAGATGCTGAAGTCATCCTCTCGCGCATACTCGAAAAGGCCATTCGTCGCTCCAACGCTCTCGATACGGAATCGCTTTGCATTATCGCCGGCTTGAAATGCTTTGCTCTCCGCGCAGATGTACACATAGTTGATCATGATGGTGGCCTCATCGATGCGTCCTGTATTGCCGTCATGGCAGCACTACAGCACTTTAGGAGACCCGATGTCGTAGTTGAAGGCGAGAAAGCAACCATTCTCAGCGTACGCGAACGCGAACCGATACCCTTGTCTATTCTTCACCAGCCACTCTGTGTGACATTCTCGTATTTCGAAGGGGAGATATTTTTAGTGGATGCAAACCTGGCTGAAGAGCAAGTTCGACAAGGAGAAGTGATTATTACCATGAACAAACACGGAGAGGTTTGTCAGATCGCCAAATATGGAGGGGCCACTATCCACCCGCTCGCCCTACTAAATTGCACAAACATCGCGCAACAAAAGGTTAAGGAAATAGGCGCGTTCATCCAGAAAAGGCTTGAAGAAGATGCGAAGGAAAGGGATGCAGGAGGACTGATGGCTGAGCTGAGCGCTGAAAACGCCAGGTGAAGATCTACAAAACAGTTGTATGATACAACAGCCTGAGAGTTTGGCCCAATCGTCTAGCCTGCGATGCTTTCAAATACTGAGGTCGCGCGACCACGAAACTTCGTCAGCCGAGCCATGTGCTCGACCAGGAACATTCCTACGAGAGGACGGGTTGTGGGTCCATCGATGTTGTGGATCGACGGTCTGCCGTACCCCTACGCAAAGCTACGGGATAACCAAAAACCAGACGGCGAATCGCAAACGTTGGTCATAGGGTTAAGGTGCATGGAGCAACTCGGAGCTCCGAAGCGAGGAATAGTTAATGAATAAGCATAGACATGTGAAAAGAAAAACGAATGCCATCCTCGGCACACAACTAATGTGAAGACGACTTCTAGAACTTATGGTTTGGTGATGGCGCTGACAAAGCCTGTCGCTTTAGGATCGGACGAGCCACGACACCTCGGTCCATGCAAGAAACAATTACTTACTCGCATGTTGTCTCCCCACCATGAATTCCAAATCAATCTTAGATGGGGCATGCTTCACAATGCATCGGCCGAGGTGTTACTTGAGTATGCATATAATTCTTAGCCTGGCACTTGCCAGTTTGAGTTCCGCAAGTTCTCGAACTATCATCTTGACTATTGCGTCATAACCCAAGGACCCTGCATTACGTCTCCCCAAACATCCTGCGCGTCTTACTTTAACAGACCTCTCGACTGTCTTCTGAACTCACATTTCTACATTTACGCATTCACAAATCCCCTCGGCCCAACATGACTTCAAAACTAGTACCTTCCGACCCAGCCAGTGTTATGGTGATTCGAGATGTGGTCCCGCGCATAGTGACTACGCTCTCAGTACCGTTTTGGAGATTTGGTCGCGTTAAGATCGGCGGAAGAGGAACCATCGGTATATTTTGTTTATCCAAAATATCATGAGCCAATAACTAACAATAGTCGCAGTGCGCCTTGAATCCGGCGCTCTTGCTGTCTTCTCGCCTGTCGCCTTGACCGAAGATGTCAAGCGCAAAGTGTCTGAGATGGGCGAAGTCAAATACATCGCAGCCCTAGACAACGAGGTACGTCTCTTCTCTATGGCCCTTAAAGTTTTGCTTTAGAAGCACCCTACTAAATGCCCACAGCACCACATTTTCCTCGGCCCCTGGCACACGGAATACCCCAATGCGCAAGTCATGGGCCCGGAGATGCTGCCAGAAAAGCGCGCAAAGCAAAACAACGAAAACGTACCTTTCAGTGTCCTCTTTAGCGCCTCGAAGCCTGTGACTTCCATCTCACCCGAATTCGACGCAGAGTTCGACTGGGAGTATGTCCCCTCGCACGTCAACAAGGAACTGGTGTTCCACCACCGCCCTACGCGCAGTCTCATCCTCGCAGATCTCATGTTCAATCTGCCAGCGACGGAGCAATTCAGCAAGTCGGGCGTCGACCCAAACACAGGAATCCTGAGCAAGATCTTCAATGCGCTGCAGAACACGAAGGGTGATGCGAAGTGGCAGCAGCGCACCATCTGGTATGGAACTAGCGCAAAGGATCGAAGCGGTTTCTCGAAGAGTATGGAGAAGATTGACAAGTGGGGATTCGAAAGGATCATTCCGTGCCATGGAGATGTGATTGAAGGTGAGGGCAAAGGTATCTTTGAGAAGGTTATGAGGTGGCATCTGGATGCTGCGAAGGGGCAGGCCAAGACTTCTTGAGCTATGTGGTGCTTCAGGGAGAAAAAGGCGTTTGAAGATGTCAAGGCGAAGCCTGAGAGAGGCGGTAGGTGGAAGGGTTTAGGTGATACCCCAGTTGTTTGGAGACAGCAGCGTTCTTCTTCTGTTTTTCAACTCTGATCATACTCATCTTGCTCATAAGTAATTGACGGCAAAGGATAATGCAAACTATGTTCTGGTTCTCTTCATATCTTCTTCGGTTCTTTACCCATCTCAATATCCGCTCCAAAATTCCTTCTCCGCACATCGCGCCCATCATATCCACTGATTCTTTTATCGTTCCCCCAACCCCAAATCGCCATCACACCAGCCAGTGTATAGGGATTCCTCCTGAACCTTTCTTGCGATGCTGGAACCACGACTGGCGAAGGAACCGAGATATCCACGTCCTCCCAATCCTGCATATCCCCTATATCCTTCGACATAATAGACCCACTACATCGCGAACCCTCATACGGTAAAGTCTCATCTGTCATAGCATCAACCCTATCCTTTCTTTCCGTCTTCATCCCCAACACAACTTCCTCCTTCCCCTCAAACTGCTCATCCATCTCCTCCCCGTCAACTCCCCCACACATCCATATCTCCCTCACATACCACAGCACCCCCACCCCGACCCCCAGCGTACCGCAAAACGGTGCACAACCAATCAAAAAGCCCGATACATGCAGTAAAAGCTCACTCCGCCACTCCTTTGCATGCTCAATTTTGTACTCTGTTTTCTGAGCGTGCGCAGTGAACCAAGGTGAAAAATGTATAAGAGACTTCTCGACTAGTGCTACGGCGAGAGTGGCTTGGGCGAGGAGGAGGGCGGTGCATATGATGCCGATACGGTGTTTAATGGTTGATTGTAGGATGGGGATGGTGCGGAGAGTCGTGCGGTGGTGTTGGTAGTGGGTGAGAGCGCGGGGGTAAAAGGGGAAGGGGTGGATGAGGGTGAGGGATAGACGCCAGGTTAGGAGGATGGGGAGGGTGGAGATGTAGAGGAGGAGACCGGTGAGTAGGTAGAGGATTCTTAGGGGGATGGTGATGAGCGCGTGGGGGATCATCGTGGAAATAACTTGGAGGGTTGGAGAGTTGGGGCTTCGATGTATGGTGCTGAAGTGATACTTGGAAAGTCATCTTTTGATTCTGGAGTGGTGATACGAGGTACTGCGTGTGAAGATGCTTATTGAAGTCATTAAAAGTGAGTAGAGTGACAAAGTGTCCTTCACACCACTATGACTTGTTACTAATTCTTTCAATATGTGACTCTATACTCGGGTGGGATATATTCCAGGCCTAGCCCTTTGAACACGGCCTTTTCTGCATCTTCAGGAGTCCCTTCAATACCGTCTGGCCCTTCAATCATGATGGCCTCACCATTAGCTCGACTGCGAATGCCGCTGCTGTCGAACTTCCAGCCCTTCACATATTTTGCATACCGCCGCAAATCCCGCTGAAATGTCGTGCCACCGCTCCAGCCCATTACTGCACAGCCCACAGTTCGCCAAGGTGCAACGATGATGTCGACCCGCCGACGAATAGCTGGGTTCTTCGCTCGCGGATTTCGCTCGAGGTCCTCTTCGCGAGTTGGCCAAGCCGGATCCTGCCACACTACAAGTGCTTTATCAAGAGTATCGAATCCTACTCCAGCTCCTTTTGCAGAACGAAAAGGTAGGGTGTGTTGTCCGCGCTTCGTGTTTGCCAAGCTCAATGTCAAGGTGTGTGTGATCCACTGAGCATCTTCCAATGATTCGACAATTTCCTGAACTAATTCCGCCGTACTTTCCAATTCAGGGTGCGATACGATTATATCCACATCGCCAGAAACTGATTTGCCGCGTCTATAGCCACCGACTATGGTGACACTGATGCGTTCGTCCCGGAGTTTTACCGCATGGTCTCGAACAACAGCGGCTATGTGTTCGACTTCGGGACGTGGAATCGGTTCTTGGAACTCGGCATAGTATTTCACGCCAATCTGCTGCACTCGGTCAAGGTCATTCCAGCCATGTTCAATGATATCGTCCAACTCCGTCCAGTGGTTGTCGTAATAGAAATGTCGTGCCGTCTTTGCTCCAACACCCCATATATCACAGAATGAACGCAGAACCTTCATTGCCTCATCGTTCTCATAATCCTCAACTTCCTTAATTTTTCCGGTATTCTTCCATTCAACGAAAAGAACTGCAGTCTTCTCGTCACACCCTGGTAATTGCGCAATCTCACGTGGGTGACTGAGCTTGTACGGATAAGCAGCAATGGCTGCAATAATGGTTGAGTACGCACGTACACCTATCTCATCTTCGACAAGGATCCGATTAGTCCTAATCTTCTTGAGTAGGTCTAGGAAATCCTCATTCGGCCCGTTAGCGGGTGTCAAGCGTTGGCATGCATACTTGACGCCTTGCTTCACCCACTCGGGTGGTGGCGGTATATCACTATCTTCGCCTTCATACTCGCTCGTCGTTTGCTGAAGCAGAAGCGCCGTCTGTGAAGCAAAGGAGTGGGTCGAAGGCTGCGAGGGCGCTAAATGCTTGTCACCGAAGCGCCGAGACGCTTGATTACCAAATTGGGGAGACTTGTGTGTAGTCTTGCCTGTCATTGTAGGTGCATCCAACTTTGCTCGACCTAATATGTTTTGTGACTGACGTGTCCCCGTGGGCTTGAGTGTCTGAGCTGCAGGTGGTTCTTTTGGAGTTACTGAAAAGATATCCTTGATGGATTTGGTACTGCGTGGTTTTGGTCGTTGCTGCACTTTCCCCTGATATATCAAGTTGTCACCTAGAGGAACGAGGTGCCCTGCAGTTCTACAAGCCTCTATCCAGTTCAAGTTGACAACCCAAACAATGTCAATGCTTGAGCCATTCTCGACGATCGTTGGAAAGGGCACTTCATCCTCAGCATACAACAGCGGAGACTGTGAAAAACTCGAATTCTGGATCGGCGCTTCGTCTTCAGTGTCGGACGTTTCTTCGGCTTCTTTCTTCGCAGGATAATCTTCTTGACTAGCTGAGATAGGTTCATATGGCGACTCGAAGACTCTTTGTTTCTTGTGAGGTGTCCCTGTTTTTGCAGTACTAGCACGGCGTTTCGGCATTACAAATTCTTCGGCGATTAGGTTCCTCGAGCGCAACTCAAATGCAGCTCTTCCCTTAGTGCCCACCTTACCTAGGAGTATTTTTGCCCTCGACATGTCCGTGGTAAGCGACGCATTGTACAGGCGCAAAGTTTCTTTGAGCGATTTTTCTTCATCCTGGCTCAAGCGTGTTTGCAGTATAGCTATCGGCGGAAGTTTACTAAAATCAAGGTCTGTTATAGGTGTTCCCAATGTCTGAGATAACGACTCCGCGCGCGCCGCCTGAACATGGCGGTCCATACCGGATAATATCGTGTTGGTGAGATGGATAGGTTCCAGCCAGGGTGATCAAGATGGATCAAGAAAGCGCATCCTGTATCTTCTCCAAGTAGAATGTCTGAATGTCCGAGTAGTCATTATTCTGAGGCGCCGGTCTCCATACGACGAAATCAAAAGCTCAACTGTATCGATCACGAAAACTCTAGTGAATGGCTCTTCCAACGTCACACGGGCCTGGATGACGTTGGTGTGAGGTAGAGAGGTTGGGGGCTGACAGGAGGCCCTTGGCAGGTTTGCATTGTTTCGACATAGGATGCCCTGGCATCGCTGGCATCGGTGTCTGTGCGCCCCGAGTCTGTTTGTCGCTAGCCTTCCCGCGTTGACGCGCAATCAGCTACGACGTCTTGTTTCACCCCTGCGTCTTTCGAGACTGAACCCACAATCCTCCAAGCCTATCCCTCGGTCTAATACGTATACATCAGCCTCATTGTCCGCAGATAGCTGAGCTACGGTGACGATGTTTGTTCAGTTCTTCCAGTCCACATATTGATGGAGTTGTCAGCATCCTCATGAGTTTGGTACCGTATAGATGCCTGCAATCTATCAGTCCAAGCCGTCTCCCAACCTCAGCCATTAGGGTTCTTGCTGCTAAATGGGAGAAGGCTTCTTCGCATGATGACGGCGGCGTTTAGCATCATGCCACGGCTGGACCGGTTGAATCGCGCCACCTCCAGTGGACGGCCCCATGGCAAACGCTACAAGGGCATCGAACGCGGGCGCGAATCGCCTCGTTTGTTTCTTCCACGCCACCGATCTTTGCCGTCTAGTGCGCGGACCTCTGTTTCGGAATAATAATGGCACCACGTCAATTCTGGAAGGCCTTATAGCTGCGCCCTTTGGTGCGTACACATATAGCATGTAAGCCCGTAGGATTAAGGTTTGGGCATTCTGATACACCCTAAGCATACCGCTCGTCACTAGCTACCCTGGCCTGTCTGTGGACCGATATATACAAGTGGGTATCGCCTCAGGCCCCATCTGTTCATTCTTCAACCCTTGCCTTTCTTTTTGTGGTTGAACTACATATTTGCTCTATCCTTCTCCTACATTCTTTTCGTTACTTTTGATAAGAGCGCTGGTATCTCCGTGTGTATCCATACTACACCCACTTCGCTTTGACAGCCACCAAAAGTTGATTGAATTCATACTATCAACGCCAGCACCCCCTTCTCTCCTTCAACATGCGCTCTTACATCTTCATGGTCCTCGCGGCCCTCTTCGCACTTGCCTGTGCAGTACCAATCACACCATCAGCACCTCGACTTCAAAAACGGGCGGAGCAATACCGACTACAGGGGCTGGCAGAGGTATGTCTTTCGAATTGCCTGATCTGACTGAACATATGGACTAACTTGAACAGTTTCAAATCGCTGAGCGCCTTTCATCTTCAGCATCATCATTCGGCGTTGATCCTTGGCGGGCCCGCCTCAACAAGAAGTTGCACGCACTCCTGGACGCTCTACCAACAGATGACGAGGGAAAGATTACAATTGAGGAGGAGGCAGAAGACTTCTCTGGCGATATTGCACCTGGTACTCTGGAAGCACCCTCAGCTCTTCCCAAGGCTTTGAAGGAAGCCAGTATGTATGACAGGCTATGTGCGATGTTCCACCGCGCAGAAAGCAGTTTCGGGTATGAGGGCAAGGAGTTGGAGCTGCGTCGACCTGAAGGAGTCCAAAACTGGAAGCAGTCTTTTGGAAGTTTCCGTCGTCGTCATTAAAATCAAATACTTGATCGTTTCTTCTTCTCCTTCATTTGATCGGACATGCAGTGACGACAATACTTGGAAATGCTTATTTTTTTTCAAAAGAGAAAAGTAAATGGCGATTGATACTCTGATATGCCGATCAGATCCGTGTCTATTGCTACGCCCGCTCATCAGTTTACCCACCCTATAATTATCAAGATGATGCCGTTTAACGCCAAGTCATGTCCCAAAGAAAGACGCTCAACAATCAAACACCCATAGTGAAGTCATGCTCTATGCCTGGTGTGACACTGTTGTGTGTTAGCATGGCTCTTTAGTAATGGGACAAATCAACTTACCTAGCCATGAACTTGAGGAAGACAACCAGATACTGATCCACGCGTATAGCCACCTCTTCGTCATCGCCCTCGCTCAGTACCTCCCAGTCGTCCTTGGCTTCCTCGCCATCCTTGCCCTTGGCTTGCTCGGTTAGCTTCAGTAACCGTGTGTCATCAACCAAGGCTTCCATGCCGCTATCGAGCTTGCTAACGTCTTTGCCAGCCTTAAGCTTGGCAAGTCGCAGCTTCAAGGCAGCATCGGCACGGTCGAGAAGCACCTTCATGACAGATGCGTGTTTGCAGGGATGCACCGAGGCTGTCTTTAGAGGATTCTCGAAGAAAGGAAAGTCCTCGATTGTGACGGTCTTGTCCTTGTAGTCTCCAACAATATCCTCCATCATCTCTTGGGGTTTTAGTGGAACAGAGGTGGAGCCATAGCCTGAGAGATATAACCGCGGTGTCCGGTAGTGTGCTGAGTATGTGATGTAGAGCGTGTATGTGCGTAGAGGACTGTAGAGAGGGTCAGTATGTCTGGATATCTTCAAGCGCAAGGCGTGTGGACTTACGCTTGCGTGTTTGACTCGGCTTGTGGGTCCCTTATGATGGCTTCGTCGTCATCCTCAATGTCCTCCATGTCGGGGATCTCGTCGTCGTCCTCTGCTGCGCCCAGGTTACCGCTCTCGTCGACTGTCCGCACATCGCGGACCTTGGCCTCCTGGCTAGCTGCCATGCCGCCAGTGCGCAGCCAGCCGTCGTCATCGGTTGCGCCTTCCCCGGCGGTAAAGCCGTCTCTAACTATGGTTTCATCTTGGCCGGCTTCTCCAGCAAAGTTGTCGTCGAGACGGCGGTGGCAGGGTACGCCGCGCGTTACCAAGAACTGCTTGCCCTCAGGCAGGTATGAGACGCGTTTCGAAGGCGACGACGCATCCGCCCACTGCCACGAAGGGAACTTGAAGACGAGAAAGTCGCCAGCAAGCACAAACTCCTCAGGCGTGATCTGGCCCGTCTCACGGAACGTCGATGTGTGGCTGATAGCGGCGGTGCGCTCGCGGAAAGTGTCGATGTACGACCTGACAAAGTTGTAGGCCATGGCGATGTGGAGATGAGGCAACGCGGGTGGTACAAAGCTCTGGTTTTTTGAGGTAGAGTTGTCTGGCGCGGTGCGTGTATGTAGTAGGGTGTCTGTGGTACATCCAGCGTGCCTTAGAGGGGTGGCGGGGTTAATGGCCGATGGTGCCTGTTGTGGGCCCTGACACCAGCCCGTCACCACTCCTACTCACCTGCTTCCCTTCTTCCACCCCCACTCGTCACAAGACAAGATCCAGCCCCGTCACGTACCAGGCCCTGTCACGCTTTTCTTTTGCATGATGGTGACGCAACTCTGCTTCGGCCCTGCCAAGCGTCCATATCCGCTTTCTTATCTCGCTGCAAGCTTTCTCGACTAAACATGCCGTCCAGTTACACCGCCAGCAGCACTCGCATAAGCAGGCACATTTGCCCTGTTCGTGACTGCAGACATTCATGCAACCTCGCTTGAGTCGGAGTAGCATGCGTCGCACAGCGAGACCTATTGTCGCACCCGGCTTGTGTGGTTGCGCACTTTTACACTGTTCGAAAATAACCGTGTCCCTGTCAAAGTCGCGCCTAATCGGGACAAAGTGGTTGCTTTGTAGTCTTTCCTATCTTTCAACTCCATCTTAGAGAGTGTCAGTGTCACTATATGTTTCAGTTTTGACAAGTCTCATGTTCAGCTCGTCTCAAATCTACCAAAGAACGCTTTTACTTAGCTGCCCTTGAGCAGCTGACTTAGATAAGCGTTTGGCTTTACAGAGTGCATGTCAACTCTTTCCGTGAGATGACCTCATGTGGAAAAGGATCGCCGTGCGAAGATTCGCAGAGCAAATACGTTATTACCAGCAGGTTGCTCATCCTCTGCGCAGTCATTTCCCATTTCGGTACTATTTGCATCTGTTGCACAGCGGATCCTCGCTAGCATCATTGGTGTTCAGGATATTCCAGAGGCGGCACCACTTCGCAACAGCTCTCGACCGTCACCTGTTGCCGTTATTGACGCAGCTTTGACCCAGGTTTGCAGTGCCATTTCAGGAAATGACAGCTTTGGTCATCATGCCGTTTTCCAGCTAGGCATATGCAGTGACCTGAGCACGAAGACGAGGGTGTAGAATTACAACATCATGTACAGATATTGACAAATAGAGTTTCGACGGCTTTATCTATCCAGGGTTCGTTAAACGGAAACCTACAGAGAATCGATGATGACACCAGCGGCTCATCCAAGGTCTCTCCTTCTAATGATACTCCTCATCGCCAGTAAAGTGTCGTGACGTCTTTTAGGACCTACATGGTCATGAACGTATGGGATCCATGGGGACTGTCAACATTTCGAGCCTCAAATATTCGTCTTTTCGCGCATCTTCTGCAATATTTGAAGCCTTCCAGCCTCTAACCTCATAACTTGTATATTCTGTTGGCGTGCTCCGCGACTCAAAACTGGGTTCGGCTGCCGGGACATCTAAGAAAGTTATGGTACCACGGTACAAACTGTCAACCATGCACCTCATCTCATTTCCGGGGATATCTCCGGGTGCGATATGGTTTATTCGCAGGGTTCGTCGAGATACCGAGGGGGGTGGTCTCGTTCACATGGGTCTATTTGAGATTGTGCTCTCTGAGGTGTTGACCAGTCTGAGCCAGATGCAGCCTAATGCCTTTCTACCGAATCACTACATCTCTTACACAGACGACAACCCATGTCACCAGATAACTACTTTATAATATAACTGAGGGGACTAAGGTACACAGCGTCATGTCAAAGACTTGCCAGCAGTCACAATCTCACTAGCCCAGCACTTGTTACTGGAACAGCCAATGTCGGACTGATACAACCACGAATGCGAAGTCATGATAATCCTCCCAACATCATATCATGTCAAGTCGTCATTCCAACACCAGCTATGCCTATAAAATCTTGTGCGGGATAGCTTACGCGTACATAAAACCTGGTAGGCCCAACATAGCTAATCAACCACACGGCTATAAGCATACATATATCCACTCTACAGACCTAATTGATCTTAACGATTATCCTTTTCATACTTTCAGTTTATCACTACATACTTACCAACCAGTCATCCATCCCTCCATCCATCCCTTACCCACCCCTCATGGCAGATGACCCAAACGCGACAGCCAACGGGGCTCAACCACGATGCGGAGGATGAGAAGAAAAAAAGGTTCACACAACTCGGCATCTCTACTCCCCGCCGTACGTGCAATCATCTACTCCAGCACTTGGAATAACACCCACTGAACACGAGTCGAGACCGGTTTAGCCTCCTACCATGACACTATAACCAATGACTCCACATGGACCTCGCAAACATGGCTAGTCCGGCTGAATGTCAAAGGAGGATCAAGAGTTGTTTGCTACCTCCTTTGCTTAAGAGACATGCGTGTTGTGACTTTTTTCTTCTCCATGATTCTCTTTACCTCTTGCCTGTGTGTTTAGTGTATGGAGGAGATAATAGTCTTTGTCTCGTGTGTGGAAAGTGATGAAGAAACTCGTTCAATCTCTTTGTTGCTGATGTGTCTGACGTATTTGAATCTGTGTCTTGATACATACATATTACATATTACATAACTATACTTTTTTCTTTTCTTTTGTGTATGTGTGTTGAAGTGATCGTACATACCTCCCTCCCCACCACCACCACCACCGTAAAATATGCATAACACGACATCACAGCACACATGTCCCGCGAGACCGATGTACACGAAAAAGAAGGAAACCAGTAGAGACAGAGGGAATCAACGATATATCAGTCTGGGAATGTCACAAATCACATAAAAGAAGCCGAGAGACACTTTTTTGAAGATAGATAGTAGTGGACATATAAAAGAATTCGTTGCACAATACAAAAGGAAAAAAAAAAGAAAAAGAGACCCTTCTCCAACCAACACCAAGCAAAATTCCATATGACCAAAGTAAGACATAAAAAGGGAGAGTTGATACCAGGAAACGTAGACAAGTATCGTGTTATGTCGGTCGCGTCGTCTGTTTTTTCTTTCAATATGCTCGCCAGCAGATACATAAGTGCACAGATCCGAATCATATACAGGAAGATGGTACTGCTTTGCCCCCCCCAATTTGCAACACCACAAAATCTAAAGAAAAGAAATAAGGCGTGAGGTCGTTGGCGTCCTACACCAGGCTCCCCAAAACCCCTTTCCAAAAACCAAAGACACTTCATCTCTTCAACAAGATTTTTAACGGCGGATGCTCGTCGCAGGGGATGCATTTCTGCTTACTCTCCCACGTCGCTGGTTACCACCAGGAGCCTGCTGGTGCTGAGGGGGCGCATACATGCCGTATGGAGGATACATGCCCGGCATACCTTGGCCGGCGAGATTAGCCGGTTGCATCATCGGTGATCCGTTGAAGCTGCCCGGGCCTGCAACAGGTGAGGCGTTGCGGTAAGCATCCATACCAGGGGCTGGCGGTTGGAAGCCGTTCATCTGGGGATAGAACTGACCCTGTCGGGCCAAGAGCTGCTGGTATTGCATCTGCTGTTGGTTGTTCATGCCCGGCATGTTTGGCATGTATCCGCCCATTGGGAATTGCTCAAAGCCGTTTGAATCCATGCTTGTTGTGCGCTGAAGCGCGACGGGATCGTA